TGATATATAATATTTATCGATAGAAAGATGTAGTACTTGCTTGAATCATGCACTATCTAATATTTTTGTGAGATATAGAGAAAAATATTGTAAAATATTGATACTTTTGCGTGAATTGAGCGTGAAAGGAAGAGATACAGATGAATGAGAGAGAGAGAGAGAGAGAGAGAGAGATTTGTTTGATTTAAAGAAAAGATTTGGGGGAATTAAATTTTGGAATATCAATTTTGGAAACTATAAATTTTGAGTAGAAAAAATATTTCAAAAGAGTTAATGTGGTATGTCGGATTAAAATGATTTGCGACGTCAATAGCTCGAGACAGTTTGGGATAACGTCGTCTGTTAGATGTTTTTTTTTGTCACGAAATAATCTAAACCACTCTTTGTTTCCAAAATTCAAATTAATTCTACTTTATTATATATATAAGTATCTTTATGTGTAAATGTTTGGTGAAGAGATATACTTTTGCTGAATTGTAATTTTTTCTCTTACTAAATTTTCCTTTTTCTTTATTAATAGGAGAAAAAAAGTTGACAGTTATATAGGGATTCAGTTTCCTAATTTTATGGTATATCTTTTTTAAATTTTAAATTACCTATTCATCTATAATTGAACAACCGTTTATTAAAACATTCATTCCATATTTATTTCTCTATCATTCAAACCGAAAATATATGTCAATGACACCCTCCCGCTAATCAATGTCATCATACTATAAATCAAAATGTCATAGTGATACCTTCTAATGGCAATGGTATCAGCAATAACACACTGTTATCAGCCAAAATTCACATTGTTACCATCCAAAAAGTTACACTACATTTACATAATTTTTTTTATTTATGTCTTCCCTACATTTATATAATTTTTAAAATTTTTTTATAAATTGCAATGAAGAGTATATGTTTTCACCTTATATAATACTATTGATTTTTATGAGTGTTTTTTTTCATGAATATTTTAAATTTAAATTTAGTACAGTGGTACATGTCATATTGACACAGTAATACACAACAATGTCACACTGCTACAAGCTAATGTCACACTAGAAGAGGTGTTAGTGATGTTTTTGATAATAGAGGAAGTGTCCTTAAAGATATGATAAACTAGAAGGGGTGTGATTGAAATTTTTTCAAAAAATTATTACACCTCTTGAACACTGACTCCATAGTCTGTAAGCCTTAAAGAAGATGAATCCTCTCAAAACTCTCTTTTTTCTTGTACAAATTCATGGTGATTTCTACAATCCACGACCCTCCTTTGTGGTCCACCTCAACATCGAGAATGTTTGGAACCTTGTGCTTCAGGTCCTTAGAGAGTTTTGCGATCTCGATGAGTCCTTTTGATCGGAAACAAAAGGATTTAGACTCCGTTGATACTTTGATCGAGAGTTAGTTTTTCAATAAAAGAAAATAGTCTGGATCCATTTGAATTAGAACGTTTTGAAAATAATGGAGGTTGTAGGAAAGTTTTCTTATCAATCTTGAAATAATGGAGGTCTCAACGATATAGAAGGAGTTTTATGGGTAACAGTTGATATCCCTGATATTTCGATTGTGGAGGCAAAAATATAGGAATCAGTTCCTATTTTACTGAAGGGGGGTATTTTAGAGATTTGTTAAAGGTTGTGTACTTTTTGACCGATATTTTAAAAGTGATACTTTTTGCCCTATAATTTCTAAAAAGGCACCGGCCCTTTTAAAACTCTAATAAGTGTTTAATAGATTAATTTATTATTGATAGACCGTAGAATATTTGTTTTAAGTTGGACATAGGATTGTTAGGCCTATTAGAAGCCCGACTCTTATTTCTCATTAAGGTCTCTACTGTAGCTTATATATACACGTTCTTTCTTTCTGGTCCTCTTAGCCACTTATTACCTTCACTTTTAGAAGAGGCAAAAAGATAGAGAGAGAGAGAGAAAAAAAAATTGAGAGAATTGCAGCCGACAAAGTGTTTGAGTTTTTGGCGTTAAAGTACATAAGGTAGAAAATCGTGAGATCTATCAAGCGGATTGTTCGTTCTGCATCAGGTTTTTGTTCGTGCTATGACAAGATCAATCCGTTGAAAATAAACTCTAATTCCGCTTTATAGGGTTAACAAGTTTTTTTTTGGGTATTCGGTTTATACGTGGCACTGTCAAAGAATTTTAGAACTCGCGTTTTAACAATTTTATCATTGAAAAAAAGTTCAATGGACGAGGTCTTACTCCTAAAAAGTTGTGCAACAAGTCAAGCATTCAAGCTTTTTTGAAAAAAAGGAAAGTTTTTTTGGGTGTCGAGCCCCAGCTTGGGTTGGGATTAGGAATAACAGTGGACCAAAGCAGAGGCGGGGAATACAGTCTCCATCCCATACATATTTAAAAAAATTTCGTTCATCCTCGGTCCATCCCCGCTAATAGGGATAATTTTTATCCCCATTTTTGTCCACGGGTAAATTGTAATCTTCGTTCCGTCCCCACGTTCACTCACGTAACACAATTTCCACAGTTGCACAACAAAACTAGTCAAACAAATGCAAAACCCATCTCAAATTCCAAACTTAAGATAAAACATTCGTTCGCATAGACATATGCCAAAATATATGAGAACCCTAAACGTGAATATTCTTTAGCACATTAATAAGATGAAAACCCATCTTAACTTTCAAATCTAGTAAACATTCACCTATCATAAAATTGCAGAACCCCCAACACAATTTCCACATAAATCTTTAATAGCAGTGCACGTATGTTAATCAACAGAGATGGAGAGCGTAGGACACAGAGAGAGAAGACTGAGCGATAGAAAGAGCAGGGGAGAGAGGAGAGAGAGAGAGAGTAGACATTACCTTTCCTGGGTCAGCGATCAACGCTCAACGATCAGGGACGAAAATAAGATTTTATTATTAGAGCATCTCTGATGGAGATCCAAACCATTACTTCAATTTGTGTAAAAAAAAAAGGGGGTAAAGAGCTTGATTTGATATAGACCTCTCTAATGGACAAATCTTTTTTTAAAGTAAGAAAAATTCAAATTTAAATAAGGACAAATCTAAATTTAATAGAGGATAAAATATAATTATTAGATCTTTAAAGGAGAGTGTAATCTCACCATTAAAAATGTGAGTTTAAAAAAGGGTATCCCTTAATTTGGGCTTAAAAATTGATTTTCCTTCATTTTGTATGGGTATGAATTTAGCATTGGAAAAGATTTTTAAGAATTTTTTACCCTTTTTAAAAAAATGTTTAAAAAAGGATAAGGATTAGAGATGATCTCAGGGGAGCCAAACTCTATTCACCGATATTCAAATAAATAACATGGATTATGTTTATGCTCTTTATATTCCAATTCACAACTTACAAAAATAATTCGAACAAAATAATGTATTTTCAATACAAATAAAGATCTCTATAAAAATGAAAATAAACATACAACACCAACTAGTTAATCGCAGTTCACAAAAAAAAAAATTGATTTGGTTCTGTACGCTTGGTGTTTTGTTCATTAAGCAAGAATCGATATCCATCGAAGGCACGAATCGTTGTCTATTGAAACTTTTTGTATTCCTTCTATGTATATCCTTTCAGTTTTGCAATGGTCTAAGGTTTTTAATTTTGTTTTGTAAACATATTAGGACTTTTTTTGTAACTTTATTTGGGATTATGGCATATAATGAATGGGAATAGTATGTTACCAAGACTTATTAACAACGAGTTATATAGGTGAAAGGGTTCTTCCATTATTTTGTGAAGATTTGTGGTAAACTTCATAAAAGCTTATATTTTATCCTTTTACAATGTAGCATTACTTTATTACTTTTTTATTTACCAAGAAAAGCTTGCATGGTAACAAATATTACTTTACCAAAGTTAGAGAATATTTTGTAAAATTAACAATCTAGACTTTGTAGCTTTGCAACCCTTCAAGCGTTAGATTTTCTTTGGATGGGTGGCCAATGCATATAGTGTAGTTAGGGCTTACTTTGGGGTATAGTAGACTATATTTGGGGTTCCTGCCGAGGATGGGGGGGCCATGGGGACCCCCAGGCCCCTCTGTAATTCTGTCTGTCGACGAAGGAGAGAGAGAGAGAGAGTAGGTTGAAGGCGAGAGAATTAGGGTTGATGGACTTAGGGTTCAGTGGGCGACGAAGACAGAGAGCCAGAGGAGTGATTGAGAGTGAATTAGGGCCAAGTTTTTTGGTACTTGGGATTATATATAACAGGCATAGCGGGACAAGAGTAAGTGTAAGTCCAGTCTCAGGTTTATACGGGTATCCCCGCATATATTTACCATCTAATATGTATAGTTCATTTTTGGTCCAAATGAAACGAAATTCGATGAATATCTGTTTTTTTTTCAGTCTATTAACATCCTGGAATAGAGTCGGCTACAAAAAAAATATATACTTAACAAAAATAGTGTGATTTAAATGGGAATCCAAAATTGACCCAAAAAATCATAAATAGAATAACAAAATAATAATAAGTTGGTACCACTTTTGGTCCTCATTTTTTAAATTTCATCACTTGGTCTCTCAAGTCTTCAATCTATGTGCTTTAATCCAAATCGAAAACGACTCAAATTAACTAACGAAACTAGTCATATGACCACACCTGGGAGATTACTTTGATTTATAAAGTTTCCAATTTATGTCAATTTGATTCTCCTTTATTTCTACACATTCCCTCAATTTCTCGGAGTGCCCTCAGCTGAGCTCAGTTAGACATGCTTTAGACCACTCCCGCAAGTTAATTTAAATCATCTTTTTTATTCTGGAACAAAGTAATAGAAATCAATAACTTGAGGATAAAATAACCCAAAAAGAAAAAAGAAGAGTACTAAAATGACACAGAGCACCTACTTGAATGACCATTAAAGTATTACACCTTGGAATGATCTTTATAACCCACAACTCTAAAGCAGCCTGCTTATATAGGAGTTATATATCTATCTTCATCAGTGCCCATGCAATTCATATAGTGATGATGATAGTAGAAACAATTAACTAATAATAGGTTAACAGGGATTAGGATTTCATTTAGATAATAAAGCATGAAAACAAATTCACTACAAACTTGTTCAAAGTCAGCTGAAAATTGACCTCTGCTCCAACAGAACAACAAACAACTTTTCTAGGCCAGCATGTTGATTGTACAAACAGAATGAAATAAACTACTAATGTGTGTCACTAAAAGAAACTATGCTTGAGCAAGCAATGATGATCTACAAAGCCTAATCTTCTGCACCATGAAAATCTTCACCAGGCAGTGATTCATTCTCTTTGCTTCGTATTAGTTGTCTCTTCACTAGATACTGATTCTTTCTCTTCAATAGGACCAGACTCTTTCTCTTCACTAGATGATGATTGCTTCGCTATCTCAGACGCAATATTTCCCAGGCATTTTTTGCCCTCATCTCCAACATTGTCTATTCTATCCCGCAACTCATAAGCCTCCTCATCGGCTAAAATTTTTGTACTCAAACTTTCAGCCCTGGCTTCAGCTCCAAGAGATATCCCCATATCCGAGTCTTCATCTGCTGTTCTATTGTTTGTTCTACCGCCTTCCAAGTTGCTATTGTCACTCTTACCAGAATTCACCTCATTTCCTGGAGTGTGTGGAGAGTCTGCTCCTTCAGTTTCAGTTTTCTCATCCAGTTCCATCATATTGACATCTGGCTCCATAGGACGCTGCTGTATTGGCACTGCATCGCTGATAATTAGACCCATCCTCAATCTCTTACGGTAATCTTCCATCTGTAGTCTGTATCTTTCTTTATCTCTCCCAGCTTTCTCCTGATAAACCTGAATCCAACAAAATTCCATGCAGGCTAAAGTATATAAAACAATGAATGTCAAAAAGGAATTGATTAAACAGTTCATCAGAATCCAATCAAGTAATATGAAAAGGAGTATGCTCTCTTTAGGTTTACCGCTTTTTCGGGCTCTTTTATTTTGTTCCACAAATCACCTATCATCCTGCTGATCTCTCTGTCCTTCCCGGGGTAAAGCGGTTTCAGCCTGGCATGCTGCTCCGCAAAGAAGAAATTATACCCGCTTCTGTTTGGTTTTGGATGAGCAGGATCCCTCCTTTTAATCTCGGATTTCTTCCTACGTTTGCGGCGAAGCACACCTGATACCGGGGTTGAATTGTCACTGTTATTGGCACATACATTTTGATTTTGTGGCACACGACGATGCTGTGGCACTTGGTGATCTGGGTTTTGTGGAGTCTGATAAAGGACACCTTTTAGCTTTTCTGAGCCAATTGTGACGGTAATAAGATATCCACTTTCAAACTTTCCGTCAATGACCCCCATCACAGCAGAACCTGATGACGGTTCTGGAGTTGCTGCAACCATCAGAGCTAGGGTCAAATTACTCTTATGATTTATCTTTGCCATAACTTGCACACCAGGAACATAAGGAGGATATACAATCCAAAGAAATATATTGGAACATTCATGAGAAAAAGCTAGAAAACAAAACATATCACAAATGAAAAGACACTTGGAACACTTTCAGAATTCGACAAGGTGAAAGTGAATGGCATTGAAGTTTACAAGATTAATTCCTCTCCTACAACTTACTGCTATTCAAACAGAAAAATTCTAAACATAAACTACAACACTCATTTGGCAAACATTCCTTAAATGTTTCTTGCAAAATCAGTCACGCAAATGGGAGATTTGTGTTTCCAAGAAATTTTTTAAGCAGCCCCAGAAATTTTCCTGGGCATTTCTAAGATTCCTCTACAATTGCTGTTAAGACACTAATTTCCAGAGATAGAAGGATTTCACTAAATCAATCATTTACTAGAAAGAAGGATTTCACTAAATCAATCATTTACTAGAACTTGTTTTCCTGAGTGAAGCACAAAATATGATCAGAGGAACTGTTTTGTTAGAAAAATTTTCAATTTAGAAGTCCCATTATATACAACAATAGTATTGTTCAGGTAATCAGAGGAACTCTTTGTTTTGTTAGAAAGAATTTCGATTTAGAAGCTCCATTATATCCAACAATAGTATTGTTCAGGTAATCATATAACTTACATAGAAACTATTATCATTTGGCAACACCATTCCCAAAATTGTTTATGCAAAGAGAAACATGAGGAAAGAGGAAGATAAGCGCACATAAACAAACAAGCACAAACCATATAATGCATGTAGGCACACCTGCACTTAAACACAGCAAATACAGTGAGGCATTGAAAGTATCTAACGATGAGTGCTCTAGGTGTGTAGCACAACATATATTTTCCAATTTATCAGTTGCACAGTAACAAGAAGAGCTCTGGGCAATAAACCTGCTGTATGTATCCTCTTTGGCTGTGCCACAGATGCTTGAATTTCTGGTGATAGCAGCACGGGTCCAGCCAACCCATGAGGTGGAGCTAATACGGTAGACACATTCTGCAAGGCAACTGCAAAAGACTTTTGTTCTATGATTGTGAACAGCCACAAAATATAAAGCAAAAGCACCAAGAGTCTCTGCACCCACCAGTATGTAAAGGAGTCCAACCCTTGGCCTTGAAAAAGTAAATTTGCTCATAGTGGTGAAGCAATGAGATATAATATTTGCGTAGAATAAAGGAAGCATTTGTCGCTGAGGGAGGAAAACTGAAAATAGTAGTTACTTCTTTCCATCTTCGCTCACCAAGTACCTGTTAATTCGATTTGGCCATAAAAATTACTTGTGAGCGATCAGCAAAATGAGATCAAGAAGTAAACATGCCTCCCAAACAACATTATATCATGGCTTAGCATGCAAGCTTCAAAAAAACCCCGCCTCCCTCCCCAACCCTTCCAAAAAAATGTAGCCATTTGGTTACTTCTGACAGGACAACCCCAACATTTTGAAGATTGGCGTATTTGCTGGCTGCTACAACATCTAGGTGCATATCCCAATGGAGTCTCTGGTTCGGATTTTCCATTTCTGCTGTGATTTAGGTTGACTGATAGCAATTAACAGGACGAAGACCTAGGTTGTGGTTATATGTCATGTGAAGTGTTATTCTTGATGAACCACACCAAGTTAAAGATCCCAATGTATACATGCAAAAAGGTAAAACAAACATGAGTTGGATGAAATATTTAAGCAAGTCTAAACAAAAAGGTAGATCATATTATAACTAAGAAAGATTCTTCTTAAGCTTTCATCAATCGTCACAGCTTCGTCAACAAAAGATAACAGAGAAGAAAGAATCGAGGACTTTCTCACAGTAAAAGATATGACCAGAGGGCGTCAGCATTTGCCACCTCATTGTGCTTTCAATCTGTTAGGCCAGTATATTATTAAAGGATAGCAAGCACAAATCAGGTGCCAAATTTCAAGGTCAGGTAAACAAATCAACCAGAGCAAAAATACATGATATGAAGGATTCTTAGGACTTGGATGTCATAGGAAATTTTAGGTAAGGTTATGAACTGACCCAATTCAGTAAAAACAACAGCAAACTTGCCTTACCATCAAAGACTTGTCCTCAGTGAAGTAAAGGCAGCTGCTAATATGACTCGAGTGTCATGAGAAAAAACATAAAATTTTCACTTTTCAAGAGCATGTGATATAATATAAATACACTCAGGTGCTTTAATCAACATTCAATTATCAATCAAAATCATTAAAATGGCACAGAATTCTGTAAATGTTTGCTCAGAACTATTATCATATTTTTGCTTCCCCATTCTAAAGTAAAAAAATAAAAGCACATTATTTTCGAGCTACTTGTGTCAAAACAGCAAATGCACAGTATATAAAATGGCTACAAATGGTACTATTACAAGAACACAAGTTTCAACTAAATCGATGAGAAGGAAACATCAAATTACCTTTTCAATGCCACCACGAGAAGTCACCTCAACAAAAAGCAGGTGCAAGTCTAGATCTTTGCCCCCTATAACAGGGATCCTACAATAAGCACACATTCGCAAAACAAAGCTTCAATTGTAAAAGTGGCATTTACGTAAATAAGAATGGAAGTAGAAAAATAGTAGCATAAGCTTAATTATGACATGAAGTCTACAGGAATTCAGGTATAAAAAGGTAAAAAAAATTCTTAGCTGAACCAAACCAACATGCACAGATAAAAGTAAGAATTGCCACAAATCATGCCACCACCACAGGGCTTGCCAACACTCAACTGTAAAAACTCTCACTTAACAAAAATATGTTTTGGCTACTTAATAAGAGATCACAAGTAGCATACCAGAAACACTGGAACTAACACCAGTTTCCTAGATTCAATCTTATTCACTATTTTTCCGAAATGTCAAGTTGGAACACCTCATCACTATTTCCCCTAGAGCTGCAATCTGCTAAAGAACTAAGACAGGACTTAAGGCCTCAGTTACTACCCTCCTCTCATCCACCAAAAATTTTTTGAGGCCCAAAAATTTCATAAAACAACCTTTATGAAAGAATCGCACAAGTCCTATTAACCGTTTTACTTCGGACTAAACAAAGAACCAAGACCACAGAATACTCTATATGGAAAAGCTGGGCTAGATCAACTGTGTAGTTGACATTGAAGTATATGCTCATACGGAGGAATAAAATATGTTGGTCTAAATGATCAAGAATGATCTCTATCCTACAAGAGACTCGAAAAATCATATTAACATAATTAGCAAATGACTATACGTGATAAACTAAAGGAAAAGGTAAAGAGCTGAATATTCTTGGGTTGAACCACTAGCTTCTACGGCCATAACTTTTGACTACTACAACATTTTTTAGAACAAATAAGTCTTTGCATAAATGCAAATAAGAACTGAAGAAATACACAATCGATAGCAGCACTGCTAGTTTCATCTATCTTTCCCCAAGAAAATCAGCTATGGATCAAGTAAATTGTGTACCAAAGGGACAACATTAGCCCCACATGAAGCCTATGTTGGACACTGGGATCAAAAATGAATAACATAGAGAGAACCCAAATGGAGTGCAAACATTACTCCTCATGAGACTATCTGATGCAACTATAAATGGATATATTTATGCAAGGAATCCCCCTTGAACAGTTCATGGTCAATTTCATTATTCATGGTGGAATCTTACAGTCTTCCTGTGGAATATGAACAAGCTCCTTGAAAATTAATTTCTTATCTTCTCAAATATAATACTGTCAACTCAAGATGTTCTCAAATTCAATGATTTACGGCTTAGGGTTCAAGATAAGCTAGAATCTACACCTTCTCATTCACTTTGGAAGAAAATGCAAATTACACACCACTGAACTCAAATCTTTTAAAAATTAGAAAAAACAACTGATGCTCCAGCTTGTCTTGTTAACACATTCTGTATAAGGTTTGCAAATTATTCTGAGGCATCCTGAAGATAGGGGCACCCAAATGAGTTAAAAAAAACAGCAGGTATACACAAAACGATGTAATGGTCATTTCTTGGATTTTCGAACAAGTAACATAGACACTATAAATCACATTCAGATGTGTCTCATTCCTGATATGAATATATGAATAAACAAATGGATACGCACCAAACTACTATCCCACTAGTACTGACATTAAACTAACAGTAATATGTTTCTCCATCTCATATCCATCACCCTTGTTTAAGTTGATGCCATGTAAAAGATAGATGCTTGGATATAAAAGCTTCAATGATTACCTTCTTTTTTCCGGCAGCCTCTAACAATTATTTTCTTTTTCGGTAATTGGGTTCCAACAAAATTAATAGCATGTATCTATTGATCTCATTGAATAAAAAAAAAGTAAGGATTTCTTAGGAATATCAAAGCTTTCTGCATAGGTAAACGCAATGTAACATGCTGATTTATCTATCTTGTCAGCTACCCAAATGAGCAAAAATTACTAAACTAATAAATGTTGGACAGTAAAAGTTTTTTTACATTGCCGACCTTTCGCTTTAAGTAATCAGAAAATGTCTTTGTTGCATAGATTATCATGAATAAAACTTTTCATTGTATGGAAAACATATCATGGAACACCAAATTGTTGCCAGCACATTAACTTAACCCTCAAAGACATATCGATTGGTTGTTTTAATGAAGAATACTACTATCACAGCGACAATGAAAAAGAATGTCAGCATGCATAATGTATAAGTTTCATTTAATACATAAATTGAATGGTCAGAAGGAATGAGAATATGTGATTGGTCCGTCAGCACAATTCAGCATGATCTGACAAAATATCATCCAGTGAGAAAAGACCAGATAGAAATTTTGTAATTAAAGTTAATCCAATGTCATGGAGGCAAAAATACAAAGCTTAGAACAATCAGAGCAAGGAAGTGTCCCTTGTCCAGTAGGCAGCACCTCCTCTACTCCCACTCCTGCCACCCCAAACTCAAACAACTTGATGGGGGAAGATGGAGAAGACATGCTAGAATTCAAGCTGCAATTACAAGGAGCAGACTTTGCACCGAAAAATCAATCTTGGGTACATGTCAATTACCAGCAACCACTGCCTGTTCAATTTATTTATTCAACAGTAACACTATTATTGAGCCAAACCAATCTTAACTTGACCCAGGGTAGCTACCCCTTCAAAATGTGACAAAGCAAACATTGAGATGGGAGGGATTCTAGGCATATTACAAAAATGACAGATATGCCTCATATGCACTTCTTATCCCAAATTTTATGGTCTAGGAGTGACAAAGTAAGCCTAAGATTATGTGATGGCCAATCGATCTGAAGCTCTTTCAGCAGAGAAATAGCATGTGAGATACTACAAGAAAAAGTCACTTCACTTTAAGTCAAGATGAGAAGAGTTCATTCCTTATTCCTGCTCCTACATCAGATTCTTATCATGATAAATGAGAAAACCAATAAAAACAACAAATTACAGCTACTAAGCCAGGTCATACACCTGCCTGATTCCCAAAGCCCCGAAACGGATATAAATGCATTTAATAATCACTCTGCACAAAGTTAGAAACTTTAGAACCATTCCTTAAATATGTCTGAAAGATCTTTTTGCTCTCTCATTTATCAGCAATAACCCATGAAGTCTGGTATACTACAATTGGGACCTGGTATTTGCAAGAAGCTTGCCTTGACCATAAACCAACAGGATAGTGACAGCCAATTAGCAGCATCCCTGACTAATGCATCAGCTATGTGCAGCCACAGAAGTGGAGGTTTATAATAATAGTTCAACCTCTAGGTGGGGGATAATTGGTCCAGGGCAATTGGGATTACTTGTTGGTAACAGCAACAAATGTACAAGGATGTTTTCTGAAAATAAAATTTACTTAAACATAAAAAAGACAAGATAATGTACGATATCACAAAAAATATGACTCTTATTAGAGCAAAATGGAAGAATAGGATTTGGGTAGCCAACCCAAAAAAGTTGGAACAATGCTTTTTTAAGTTGAGTCAGTCATATTCAAATCTTTTGGAAGGTTGGCAAAATCGAGTTACAGAACATACTCATAAAGCTAACGACACACGGATGTTCATAAACAAAGTACACATCCATGTACTTTAATAAAGAGCAAAGAGTCTACAATTAACAAATAATCAGTTCTTCCTATAAAAAAATTGAGAATTTTACATGTTGCAAGTGATTAAACTGAAGGCACATGGAAGTCATGGAACAAGAGTACCAAGTTCCAGGTAAAGGGTCAAGAAATAAAGCTTACATGAACTTGGTTCTCATTGTAGCATGGAGCTTCTCCAAAGTATCCATGAAGAGTCTTGGACAGGCTACAACATCCTCATATCTGGCCAGAGGAGGTGGATATGGATGATAGTTTAAGGGTGTTTCTTTCATAGGCAATGGACTCTGTTTAAGAGTGGAACATGATGCCATTTCCAACTTCCCACCACCACTTTCCTCTGTCATTCCCTGCTCAACCACCAACCCCACACTCCTATCTACTTGTTCTTCCCTGCATATCCAGAAATGAAGAAATGGATAAACAAATATATGTCATTTATATATAAGAACGAGCGAACAATATACAGAAAAATTATCAGTTGAAAATCATCAAACAGAGAGCATCTGCAGGGGGAACTACCAGAATGCAAATATCAGAAAGGAAAATGGGAAGCAAAAAGTAAGAAAATTGGCAGTAAATAATGGTTAGGATTCCTCCCATGCACAGAAAAGGTGAGAGAAGTCTGAGAAGAGCCAAATTCTGAATAGAAACAGACAAATTATAAAAGCCAGCAAGGTAAAGGAAACAAACCACACAACTAAAAAAGAGGAAGAAATATGAAGAGAGATTTGATATCATGCATAGGCGTTGAAAGGACAAGGAAGACCATCTTGATGTGAAGTTCTAAATGCAGAACTGAGCAACAACAACCCCAAATGTAAAGTAAAAAGAAAAATGGAAAAATCCCCAGTACTATGGGGAGAAATTCAAAGCCCAAGAAAAGTATATGGTACAGCATAGCTGTCGTAGCCATGAATTCCCTTAGAATACCAGGGATGGAACAGAGAGACTCCATCAGAGCTCAGACCTCTCAAAACAGAGAAGGCTAAAAAGGAAAGAGGTCCTTTTAGGCTGTGGTAATAAAGTACCCAGATACACACAGTCTCTCTCCATATCAGAACTGGGTTTACAGGTCTGTCTAAGCTACATGGTCTTTGTTTCACATTCCAAAGATATAATATGTAATTATATACTATAATATGCATGTAATGACAAAGTCCAATGCCATATATTCTCCTCCTTCACCTTTCCTTTTCTCTGACATCATCCCAGGAGAAGGATTTGTGGATCCTGTGGGTCTCTGTGGGGCAGTGCCATCAACCCACACAGGTCCCTCAGAAAGACCAAAACCTACTTTTGCAACACAACACTCCTTGAAATTTCAACATCAGAACTGTCCTTCCTCTTTCATGGAAGACAATAATAATAATAAAAGAATACTGTTTAAAAAATGACTTATATGGGTAAGATACGAATGCACTGCTAATAAAATATTGTAAAAGTGAATGAGAATGTACCATGAAAACCCAGATGAAGAAATGGCATATAACAGCCTAAAATAAGCATAAACTTACCAATAGGAGAAGAAGAAATTTTTTTCATGCAAGCAGTATAAAATGGAATAAAGGAAGCAGCTTTAGACTTACCTGTAAACCAAAGGGTTATTGTTTACTCTGCTATTCTTTATTTTTCAAGGAATATAGAATGGACTCTCTCATGATGTGATCGATGGAGGAATGAAAAGTTATACAACCCTAAAATATACATAGGCTTTTGAAAAGGCTATTGTACCCCATTTGCCAAAATAGATATTGTGGGGTGACAAAAAATCGTCAACCTATATAAAGAATGAATATGGTAGTGGTTAGCTAGTTATGGTAGTGGGTGAGTGGAAAGCAAAGAATTAGCAAAACGTGGCGTTTTGACTCTCCATTTGAAAGGCAGCACATCCTCTCTCTTTCTTTCTCTCTCTCTCTCCCTCTCCCTTCCTTTCTCTTTCTCTTTCCCCCTCTTCCCCTCCTCTCTCCATTTATGTATAATAATAAATATAGATTACAGTTTGGTATGACATATTACCACGAGATATTAGTAAATTATATCAAAATTACGACAAATAAAATTATTTGAGATCAATCATAATATTTTAGAATTAGTTATAATATTTTTTTGAATCATAATTTGACTCCATTAATTAATTTTATTTACTTGTAATTTTTAGTACAGTGTCAATCTCTCTCTATATATATATATCATATCCTTATACATGTATTTTTCTCCAAATAAAGTTTTTTTCTCCTTATAAAGTTAGCTTTGGGATAAGATCCAAAAATGGACTGAGATATATGTGCCGTAACAGAAGGTCTTGTATTTAATAAAGGCATTAAAACTTTGGAATAAGTCCCAACCCCTTTCTCTCTCTCTCTCTCTCTCTCGCTCGCACACATATCTCTCTTTCTCTTTCTAAAACTTGACTTGACTCCTTATTTAGTGTCCCAGCTACCCTTTTTTACGGTCACCACCTACCCTTCATTATCTTTTTTTTTGTTTTTGGTTCAAAAAATTTATCAACACCCCGGCTAATTTTAAAGAAATTATTCACATTGTGACTAAATTATTCATAAGACGTTAATTTTTCAAGTCTAATTCTAAGAGATTATTAATATTTGAACTCGAGACATCCCTTAAATTCTTTATCACCTATGGAAAGTCTTTTTTTGGTACCTACAATATAATTTTTAACGTCTAACTATAATTTTGGGAAACTCTTAATTTATCATATTTTTAAGGATATCTTCTTTATTTTTTGAATCTTGGCCGACACCCCTTGTCAAGTTAAAGATATTAACTATAATGCAATTTTACTAAATTGCCTATGATATATTTTAGAAAAAATTTCACCAACACTTCTTCTAGATATGTATATCTTCAATGAGACACTTTCTATTTTTTAAATTTTTTTACATATTAAAATTCGGATCAATTAAAATTCGATTTAAATTAATTAAAATTCATTTTTTACGTATTAAAATTCGAGTCGATTAAAAATTTTATTTTTTTACGTACTAACATGTGAGCCGATTAAAATTCTAATCAGCTCGAATCAAATTTTAATCAACTTGAATCGAATTTTAATTGACACAAATTTTAATAAATAAAAATATATAAATTTTGGTATACTTGAAAAAAAGATAATTAGAGATAACAGCTCAAATCAACTCAAATTTTAATATATAAAAAAAAATTCAATAGGCTCAATTTTTAATACGTAAAAAAAATAAAATTTAATCAATTCAAATCGAGTTTTATTGGGTTCAAATTTTAATATATAAAAAATAAATTTTAATCAATTCGAATTATAATATGTAGAAAAAAAAATTAATCGATTCAAATTGAATTTTATGTAGAAAAATTGTTTAGGTTTATGTAGGGATAATTTTTTGTTTTGTTAGAAACAATGGTTTAAAGACAGGGGGTGTCAGTGATGTTTAAATATAAACTAGAAGGGATGTCAACGATGTTTCGGATAATAGAGGGAGTGTCCTTAATGATAGGATAAATTAGAATGGGTGTGACAAAATTTTTTGCTTTTTGGGGTGTTTAAACTCAATTCTAAATTTTAGTGTTGATCCTAAACAACCTAAAATATTACAACTGACTCTAAAAGATAGTAACTTGATCCAAAATTTTTGTTTTTCTAAAATCAATTCTATAATTGTATAATTAATTCTAATTCTTTTTGTAATAAATTGACGACAAAAAAATTATAAATTAACTCAGAAAATTTATAATTTTTATGATATAAAGTGAGTATGTAAGAAGTTATTGCCTAGACCCATGTGAAAAGTTTTGGAAGGAACTTGTGCGGGCTAAAATTTGCACAATCACTAAAATGAGTTGAGGTGTACCCTTGGTTTTTGAGTATCATCAAATCCATGAACTACAAAATCAAAGAGAGGTTAAAGGGACCCCGGCGTTGAGCCAGGGAGGCCCTTCCGATGCTTAAGTCAGCACTACGATCAATAACTGAATTAGGCGCGTATAAACTAAGAAAAATAATATAGATGCATGTGTAGAGTATGGAGCCGAGGTGCTCATACTTGAGGCCTCTCTATCTTTGGGTCTTCACCCATCTTTATAGAGGAAGTTGAGTGTTTCTTACCTTTGAGTGGCTATGTTCTTTGGATTAATACATTCTTGAGATATAAGTCTTTGCAAGTATTAAAATTTGAGCTAGACTCCAATTGGTCCATCAAGAAGGCTAACAGCTTTGTCTTGGAAAGATAAATCACGGGTCTCATTATGATACACCCATGTGATGTGGGACCCTTTCCATTGATGCAAAATATGGTCCATCGGAACCCAACCCACATTGTCCGTCGACTTGTGCTACAAAACATTTGTATATGTAATTGATAGCTTTTTCTCTAAAATTAGTCAAAAAGTAGGGTGGAGAATATGGGTTATCTACTTTGACAAATACAAAATAATTGAAGTATCTTTCAATTCATTTTTCATAGTGAAAATTTATTCACGTCAATAAATCTTTGTGAGTGGAGAGTTAAAAGAGACTGATACACGTGTTTATAACAAGGATAATCGAATTAAATGAATAGGATAAGTGGATGTGATGGAAGGAACTCCAGCAGCCTACTAATGAAGGTACCAACAAGTTGGACACAGGGTAGGAAGAATAAATGCTCTCACCAGCCAAGTACAAAATTCCAAAATCCTCCTCACAATAGGCAAATAATGCAGGTATTTATAGAACAGTGTCTAGACAGGTCAGGCTACCCGTCATGACCATTTGACACTTGCATCAACCCACAACTATCTCGACCATGACAATATCAGTGGTCGTTAACCACGAATCAGATGTCCCCAACATTAATTAAGTAGATGTGGCATTTCCACAAATGAAACATGGACGTAGCCCCCCGAGGAGGGATGTGACAGCCGAGGTGAAATGAGGCTCCCAATGTTAATGATTATGACTAGTCATAGCGGGATTATGACATCGAGAAGGCCATGTATGCAATGCCCCCCCCCCCTAAGTGCACTCATTCCTTAGGTCCTCTCTTCCTTCTCTAAACTTTTTCCTTGAGATTTTTATCAAAGTGTCCGATAAAAAAACTCATATTTTTGATCTTCAGCTTAGGGATGGCAGTAGATCGAAGCGGGGGTAGGGGTGTAGTCTCTATCCCCATACCCGCCTAAAAAAACTTTATCCACCCTCATTGACAGATATAGTTTTTATCCCAACCCCGTTCGTGAATAAATTTATAATCTCTGCCCCGTCCCCCACCTTCACCCCTACCCCCTCAACGTACCCGCCCTAACCCAAACCCAAACCAATATAATCTAAAATTCTAAATAAATTCAACATTCTAAATAATCTAACATAATTATAAAATATCATAACATAATTAAAAGCTTGTCTACAACATAATCCAACATAATATAATTAAAACCTTGTCGCCCACTTAAATCCAACACAATATCATGCAACATAACATAATCCAACATAACACAAATAACAAAGGTCTAAAATACCACTTGAATATTTGTAATGGAGAAACTTTTCTGTCATGTAGTTTCACATTTGTAATTTAATAAAGAAAATAAAACATAAAAATCTATAATAAATGTATAAAAAATATTTTGTATTTTCTAATAAAATTGATTGGTTGAAATTAAAAAATTAGCAACTCAATCATCTCTTAACACCATCGGTGGTGGCAGAATTTAATTCTTCAACATCATTTTCTTATATCATTAAAAGAAAAAAAACTATTAAATTCTTCCAAATGAAAATTTTCAACTAAAATGATATGCCTCATCACTCATATCAAGATCCTCCAATAATGTGTAACTCTTCAGGCCTGTCGAAGTGAATGAACCTAACAAAAAAAAAATAATGTATTAGTCATACTTTACCCCCCCAAAAAAAAATTATGATGCATGTACAAATAATATTTCATTACCTCATTCTTCAGCCCATAATCAACTTTGAGAGCACATTAAAGTCTTTAATATAGTTGGAAGAAGTCTATTGCGATGTAGACTGATTACCCTCCCACTTGTGCTAAAAGCAAATTTCGAGGCAACGGTAGACATAGGAATAACAAAAAGATCTTTAGCAATCATTTGAAACAAGGGATATTTGGGACCACTTGTCTTCCAAAAAGATAGTATATGAAAATTTGAAGTTCTTGACATCATATCATCTTTTAAGTAACGATCCAACTCAGACTTTTCACGCGCTTTTATTATGTCATTTGTTTGTATAAACTTATCAAAATCAGATAGATCATCAATTAATGTGTATTTAGAACCAATATCTGATTGAAGAGGGGGAAGAGAAGGCTACGGTTCATAATCACTGTCTTGCCTCGCTTCATATTAGCCTACCAATTTCAAGCAAAGCTCTTTAATCGTCATCACTTCATTTGAGGCTTCCACATCTCCATACATTTTCTCATAGTAATATTCAAAAATTTCCAACTTATATCATGGATCTAAAACAGTGGCTATTCCCATAATACCATGAATTACACTCCAATATTTGTTAAACTTTTTTCAACTTATTTAAGGCCATATCTTTT